GCCGGGCCACCCCCCCCCCCCCCTCCCCCAAAAAAGACCCCGTCGATAAGACGAATCCGAGTCTCGTGCAAGTGAGACTCTCATTGCCTAACACGCGACTCGCCCGTTTTATCATCTCATGAATCGAGGACCAACCCATTATTCAAAAATTACCTTCCGGGTTTGCGCGAATTCGCTCACGAAGCTGGTATGTCTAAACCCGATAGAGTTTGCAAAACGGCTTCTAACACCAACCAACCAGAAAATAGCCTGGTTTGAGAAAGGGGAGACACTCATAAAGTTGAGGCCGAGTGCATGAACAGTCCGGGGTCCATACGGACACTCAGTCACCTTAAAGCATCTGGCAAAGCCATCGGTGTTGGTGGAACATTTTCCAAGTCGAGCATTGGAGATTTTACATCCAAGCTCAACAGGATCAAGTTCCAACTACGGACGTTCGCAAAGGGGCCAACCGTTCTTTCACAGGAGCCGAGCAAGATGGTGCACAAGCCGGCAAACTACGACCGATGGCCAAAGGAGAGCCTGGTCAAGCGGGTGATGGAGCTAGAGGAGGAGCTGAAAAGAAGGGAGCAGGCACCGGAGATCCAAAGGCAGGAGAGGGCGGAGGAAAGGGCCCTTGCCGCCGCGGTAACTTCGACAGAAGCCGATTTGAAGGCGGCCGAGAAGAAGAAAAAGAAGGCGGCCAAGTTCGACCCAGGGAAGTACTCGACCCGCTTGATCGCGCTCAAGTTCGCCTACCTCGGCAAGAACTACAATGGCTTTGAGTATCAGTCGTCGGCCAAGATGCCGAGCATCGAGGAGGAGCTGTGGAAGGCGCTCGTCAAGAGCTGCCTCATTTTCCCCGAAAGGCCAGATGAGGTTGATTTTGGTCCCTGGGAGTACTCCAAGTGTGGACGCACTGATAGGGGCGTCAGCGCTTTCGGTCAGGTTATTGGTATTCGAGTGAGGAGTAACAAGCCGCTGCCGAAGGAGGAGCCAGAACAAACTGGAAATGAAGAGGACGACGTGGTAATGGCCGAGGCTGCTCAGCAGCAAGCTTTAAAGAATTCGGAAAAGGCCGCCGCCGAGGTAGACCACCAAAAGCCCGAATGGGATCCCATCGCCGACGAAATCCCCTACTGCAGGGTGCTCAACCGGCTGCTGCCCCCGGACATCAGGATCATGGCCTGGGCGCCCGATCTCCCGCCCAATTTCTCCGCCCGGTTCTCCTGCCGCGAGCGGCAATACCGGTACTTCTTCACGCAGCCGGCCTTCGCGCCGATGCCCTCCACCCTGGAGCCTCCTCTGGCTTCATCGGGTCAGAAGAGCGGCGGCAAGCAAGGCTGGCTCGACATCGACATGATGCGCAAGGCCGCCAAGATGTTCGAGGGCGTGCACGACTTCCGCAATTTCTGCAAGATTGACCCGGGCAAGCAGATCACCAACTTCAGCCGGCGCATCTTCGAGTCCGACATTGTTGAGGTCAAAGACCTCGAATCCGATCTGCCGTACCTGGGCCTGCCGGAATTCCAGCCTCCCGCCGGCAGCGACGGGTCACATCCCAAGGTGTACTACTTTCACGTGCGCGGCTCTGCCTTCCTGTGGCATCAGATCCGCCACATGGTCGCCGTCCTCTTTCTCGTAGGCCAGGGCCTCGAGCCGCCGTCGATCGTCCAGCAGCTCCTCGATGTGGAGAAGAACCCGCGCAAGCCGAATTACGTGATGGCGGATGAGGTTCCCCTGGTTCTGTGGGACTGCATTTTTCCCAAGCTGTCTGACGACGAAGCCAACGCTGTTGTTCCTGGCGGCAGCGGCGACGGCAAGGACTCGCACGACCCGGAGGCCGAGGGCGATGTCGAAATGGTTGACTCCATCGACTGGGTCTGGATGGGCGAGGACGACCCGATGAGCCTGTACGGTGCACAGGGCCTTGTGACGGAGCTCTGGGGTACCTGGCGCGAGAGGAAGATGGACGAAATCTTGGCGAACCGGCTGCTGGAATTTGTCGCGATCAAGCCGGATATCGATCGGAAATTGATCAAGGGCGCTTCTCCTGCGCCGCCCAAGGGGATCAAGAAGGTCTACGAGGGAGGAAACAAGGCCCAGTTCAGAGGCACGTATACGCCACTGTTCAAGAGGCAGTTGTTGGCTTCGGCGGAGGAGGTCAATGATAAGTATGCGCAAGGCTTTGGCTTCAAGAACGCGGAGGAGATGACGAAGACCAAGAACTGGAGGAGCGCGATTAGGGAGAGGAAGGACAAGAATAAGAAGGGTGGACGTTCAAAGGCAGGGGGTGCGGAAACGCCTGTTCAGGAGTCTTCTAGCTGAGCGGCATTGGGTTCATGATAACAGAAATTTATCAAAATTCAATCTCATTCGGCAGCTACAGCACAAGTGCGAGGAAACCGCGAGCACGTCAAGATTGGCGTCGAAAGACTGAATTGACATACCTACGTCCAATGGGATGTTCCTGGTGCTGCCCTGAATATAGGCTGCTGAAGCGCGCCAGGAAGGGGACGTTATTAAGCAACGATCGCCTTTCAAGCTTGACGGAGCTTAATATCTTTGTCTAGTCTAGATCACCAGTTCATCGGGCTAGTCTCAACAATTCAAGCCTAGGCAAATCGGAACCTAGGCCACGCAAGGACATACCCATTTGGTACAGACCGAGCTGGAAGCCGCGGTACGTGGCAGGCAACGAAGGAAGAGTCAATGGTGTCAGCCTATATTATGTTCTCCTGTACTTGTTCGACGTCTTCGTTGGCCACTTGAAGGAAAAGAAACCCCCTTCGACACGACTCTTAAAAAGTTCAAGATATTGGGGACAGAGCGTTCTCATACACGTACGTAGGGGGAACAGCAGCATCTGTACCGCTCTTGGCATTACGGTGGTGCTGATATTTGGTTGAGAAATGGATCTGGAGTATTCGAAGTTTGATAAAAAGGAATAGAAGCCCAGAGATATGTACGCATGACAGCTGATATCACTGGGTGTTTAAACACTAATAAAACCAAGTAAGCAAAAACGCCCGCTCCGCTCTCAACAACTTGAGACAGATTTCCTACAAGTTGCACCATGTCTTAAAGCAACTATCCACCCTTCCCATTCCCATTCCCACTCCCACCTCTCCACGCTCCATTCCCCCCATGACTCCCCCCGCCACCACCAGCTCCCGCGCTCAGCACCGGTCCATCCTTCTCATACAAACACCCCCTCGCGCCCCTCCACACCCTCTCAACAATCTTCCGTCTCGGCAACAGCCTCGGAAAGCAAACCACGACATCTTGCTCGCCCTCCACCACAATCACCAGGTAATACCTGACCTCAAACCCTTTGAACGCCTCGTTGATCAGGATATCCTGTATCTTTTCGGTCGGTATGAACCGCGTCCTCTTCATAAAGGTACCTCCCCCCAAGCGGAAGAAATTACCTCCGCCGACGCTGCTGGACATTTGAATCCCCAACCCTCGTAGGACTAGGAGGGACTCGGTGGTGTGGATACGCGCGAACAGGGCTATGTACGAGGTGAGTGCCGAGAGAGCGAGGACGGCATAGGGCGGAAGGGAGATGGCGAGGGAGGCAAGGTACTGGCCGGGGCGAGAAATGTAGAGGAGGTGGAGGATGTGGAGGAGGAAATTGTTGAGGTCGAAGTCGAGGAAGGAGATGCGGCCGGAGGGGAAGATGGGTGGAGGAAGTAACCCCGTCGGAGAGAAGAAGGCCGCGTAGATGCCGATTATGACGGAGAGAACGGCGATGAAGCGTAGGCAGAGGACGCCGAATAAGGCGGCTCGGAGGGGGAGGGTGAGAGGAGGACAGGTGGTTAGGGTGAATTCGGCCGTGGTGGGCGAGGGACGCCGGATGGTGAGATAGGGTGTTGTTGCGAGCATTTTCGGTTTTCGGTCGGATTCATTAGGGTTGAATTATTCGTGTTTTGTTTTTTTAGACGGTCCGGTTCGTGTCGTTGCGATTCTCGTAATGACTGAGCGAACAGCAGCTCAAGCTGACAGCTCTGGACTCTGATGGTCGCAACCCCTTACGGTCTGTTTTCCGTGCAAGTCGGGATGGTAAGCTACGCAAACTTGGGAGCGCAATTGGGAGAGAGGAGAGTGGTTCTGAACGCACTTGGATCGTCACCTGTGCATCTTGTGTATGCGCAGCTAGCTTGACCGTCTTCGGTCAATAGACTCTGCGTTCTCGGGTTCTCCTATACCGTGACTTGGAGAGCCTGATCAAATTCCGTGACGGAGTCGTTCTCGAGAACAAAGTGCGCCAGTCGCGACCACCCAGGGACGGGGGCAATGTGCACATCATCTTCCCCAAGTTCTTATCTTATCACCTCCATCTTGGCACACAGCACAGGCCACTACCCCTCTGTAGCGCCTACAGGCAAGTTGGATCAGGGTATATGTATCAGATCAAAATGCCAAATATTCGACTGTAATGGTCAAGGTGGGTTTGAAGGCACTTGATTTTCTCAATGTCTCTATTCCATGTCCAAATCTGGAAGCCCAGCGGCGCCCAGCACGAACCTTGCGGTGGTCACCCACTCGCACGGGTAGCCTGCGACTTGCTGCGCGTGGCCCTAAGCAATGAAGATGACACTTGAGAGAGGTTCCACTCTGCAGAGACATCTTCACCGTCAGGTGGCGCGCTGGATTACGATCGCTGGGGGTTTGGGATAGAGCGTTGAGATGGAGATGTCGACTCCTATTTTTTTCACTTTTTCTTACTCCTACAGTTGGTAGGAATAGGCCGAGGAAATGCTGGGCAAGTCAGATTTGATCTTTTTGTTTTTTTGTGCTTCCTGGTCATGATGGGAAAAACGAAATGAATATGCACCCTCAGCTGGAGTTGAACACCTGTTGACGGTGGAGACGTGCATCTCGATGCACGTTTTTGGTGTTGTTGGTTTGTGCTGGGCATCCAAGGCAGCCAGCAAGTATATCGCAAGAGCGTATAGCCCGCATGACCTTTCCTATCCCACATTGCTGTTCAGTTTTGCACACCAGCCGCTGGCAGTTACCTCCGAACATCCGGCTGGCTCGCTTCTGTCGTGGTCAAGGAGAGTACGTGCTTGCATCCTTGATGACATTTTCGGTGGTCTTTTTGGTGCACTTGCGCCAAGATCTGAAATGTGAGTTTCGTGAGAAGTTGGTCGGGCTAGATGATTGTGCATCAAGGAGCCAGGATATTTGAATGAGTGATTTCCGTCTCGAAAGACAAAGCGAAGGTTTGGTGGTTTTTGGCTGCATACAGTGACCTGGATTGAACTATAGGCGTGGTATGATAGGGACGAAGGGAAACAATTTGTCAAGAAAACCGGTGGGTGGCAAGAAGATTATGAGAGAGTGTTAATTACAACCGCATCGTCATTTGTGTTTGACCGTTTGATAAGGTCGCCTACCGGACGGGTAGAGTAGATTGCAATGTCTAAAATGTGTGTGACATATCGAAGAAAAAAAGAATGTAAGTATGGTCATGTTTAACTGGTGCTTCATGTTCAAGTCCTCATCCTCCATTAAACTTCCCTCAGCTCTGTACCACGGTCGTGTTCGACATATTTGCTCCAATCCTGGAATTGAAATTCAACACTGTCATTTCTTGGCCTCGGAGATCTTTCACCAACACAATCTCTTCTGATTTGTGGGTGCTGGTGCTTCTAGAATCCACCCTCTTCTCGGTGCGCTTTAGGATGGCTCTGCTCTTGGTACAATTGTGGGTAATATAGGCTGAGGTTGCCAGAAGAATGTAATGACCATGACACTATGCTATGCATTGACATATCGCCTTTCCCCAACCCCATTGATATCCCTGCTATCCATCCATCCTTCCGTCCGCCCACCCACCCACTCATCCTTCCATCCTGCCGACCTGTTTCCCTTCACGCCTTTGGTATTACATAACCCTGCTGGGATTCTGGCTCATCCACAACGCCTTGCTCTTCCTTCCTTCCTTCCTCCGTCCACGATCCGAATTAAGATTTGTTTACGAGCCAAGCGAATTTCTTCCTGGTAGTTGACTCGCCACCTGTTGACGGCTCTACTTGTACGCTGCGCTGGTAGATATCCTATGGGAGAGAAGAAAACAGGTTAGCATTTGTCTGCCCCAGGAATAAGCCAATGACAATAGTTTTGTCGTTCTGAAAGGAATGGATATTCAAAGAAACAGGATAGACAGATTCGGCAGATAAAGGAAACGTAGAGGTAACTGTCAGGGGCAAAAAGGGAGACAAAGGCGGTTATGAAGCAAAAGAGGACAATTTGAGCGGTAAAAAGGGGAAATTTTGTAGAAGAAGTAGAGGAAAAAAAAACTTAAAAAAAAACTAACCTCTTCGTCCGTCGGCATCTTCATATCAAGTATCAACTCCCTACTAGGCTCGTGCTTGGTCAAGTTCGGATATGGCTGTCCCTGACTCCTCATTATGGGCAGCAACACCTCCCCGAGCACCTCATATTTCTTCCAATTAATCCGATCATTATTCGGCCCCACGAATGTCCTGCTTCCTTCCTCTGCCGAGACAAGATCACGTCTGTGCAGGGGGATGAACGGAATCCTCGGTAGCGGCGTGTTCTCCCAGGCCAGCCGGTAAGCAAAGTGGCTCTTTTGCGTGCCCATGAGCAGGACCAGCCGAGCGAACCGCTTCTGTACGTCGGCCGAAACCAAATTTCGCGTCTGCGCGAGTCGGTGGATGGCGGTGCCGTTGATACCGGCCAATACGGCGGCCAGGCCGTTGTAGTTGTTCAGCGTGCGCAAGCGCTGGGCGATGACCATGAACCGTTCTAGGCAGGGTGCGCGATGTTTGGCTTTGTCACGGATGAGGATCATGTTGGACACCCATTGGGCTATGTGGTTGAAGTGGGAGACCATGCGATTGACGTTCTTGAGACTGCGGCATTTCTCCTTCTGGTCGGCGGGCAGACTAACGTGGCGCACCATGTCGCGGATGCGGATGGAGCTGAACATAATCCAATCAATGCGCGTAATCTCGTCGGCGATTATGTCGGGATCGATGTCCATGAAGCTGTGATAACGGATCTTGTTCGGCGGTAAGACGGGAGAGGGTACCAAGGCCGCGGCTTCGCGCTCGTAGTCTTCGATGGAATGGTAGGTGAATTTCGCAGTCGGATCAGCACCCGAGAGCTCTGAACTGTGTGATGGACGTCGAGGATCATACCCGCCCGACTCGTCAATCTGCACTGAAGCCACAGACTCGGCGAGTTTCCGCTCTACGTCCCTACCAGCCTCCTCGTCATCTTCGTCGTCGACCGGGTCCGCTTTTGCCCACCAGGTATCATCGTCGTCCATCACCTTTTGCTCCAGGTTCCCCTTCATCTGCCGGGCTGCTGCGGAAAAGACTTCGTTCGTTGCCAAGTCGCTTATTAGTCCTTCCAATCTCCTCCTCGTTGCTGTTCGGGCAAAGTCTCCGGGGTAAAGGGACAGCCATTTCGCAACAACCTCAATGACGCGCATCTGGCTTTCGATGCTCAGCAAAGACGGCATGTCCGTGTCGTCCCTTAAACGGTCCAGCCGCGAAAGGAGCGCGCTCATAAGCTCGCATGGCGTAGCGAACTTTCTATACAAGCACAGAAAAATGTCGGCAAAGTTGTTGTCCGCCCTTGTCATCTTTGGAGCTATAATCCTGTCGATAAGCTCATCGAAGGTGACGCCGGCAAGTTTAGGGGCCTCGTCTTCCAGATAATCCTGATTGCGAGCCATTGTGGCTACATCGTCCGACAAGCGGTGGCTTTCCAGATCCAACTCTTCAAAATCCATGAAGGTCTCCGACCCTTTCTCCAATCGTATCCCTGGTGTACGTAGCGTGCCTGACAATGCGTGTGGAAGACCGTCCTCAGGGATGTCTGATGATTGCGGGTTGGAAGCGCCGTATTGTGCATGTAGATATTCCATTCTCGGCGACCTCGAAAGTTGGGATCTCTGGTGAGGACCGTCGCCGCTAGGAGGCGCAAAGCCCTTCAAGAGCGAGAAGTCCGAGCTTGCTCTACTGTGTTTGCTGTGCTGGCTGATGGGACGACCGTTAACCTCGGGGGTAGCATCCAGATTAGCGGCCGAAGCAGCTCTTCGTCTCGAAACCGACCTTTTCGGTCTCTCTTGCGCTTCTACTTGGGCGACACGTTAGCCCTGTCTTGTTGGATAGTCTTATGTCTTGCATTCCTATGGTAACGAACAGACATCTCCTGTTCGTGGAGCACCATAATGGAGCCAGGGCGGATGAGCGTGGGCAACACTTACCTCTTCTGTTGGCCAGGATGGCGTCGATCATGGTCAAGAGGGCTTCACGAGCGCCGCCGGGAATATCGGACGAGATCCTCAGATGGGCAACACACGAGGGAAAGCTGTGTGCTACGGCGTTCATATCCACCTGGCGTATGCTCGCAGGGGTATCACATTTCGTCGCGACGAGTATGGTTGGTAGGGAGGAGTTGGCCAGGGAAGCTGCGGCACAGGCCGGTATTTGTCAGACATGTGTCTCGGGGGGGGGGAAAGCATCATGAAGGGGAAAGCTGAAGAAGCTCACTCATGGTTGGGGAGAGATCGTTGATGCTGTCCGTGTTGGTGACGTCGTACAGAATCAGGGCGCCGTCGGGCATGTGGGGGAACATGTGGCCGTCTATTTGCTTGGGCCATTGTATGGACTGGCCGGGGTCAAGGTCTTTGAAGCCGTCAAGGTCAAGTTCTACGAGGGTGACGAGGTATCTGGTGCCATGGATTTCCATGCGCAAGGTCGAGATGTTTAGCTCGGGCGGTCGTTGCAGACGGAACGCGCGCTGGACAAAGGAGGATTTGCCCGCGCCGTAGGCGCCAATAACGGCAATGTGTATGGATGCCATGGCACGTCTCGATCGCGATTGATCGAACTTGCGAAACCACGTCATACCATGTCAGTTCAGCTGTTGCTTGTCTAGAAAAAGAAAGGTATGGTATGGAAGGTGGTGGTAGTAGGTGTAGTATGCGGGAGGCTCACCCACGGCGTTGGGCTGTCGACTCTCAGAGACTCTTTGCGAGGCGGAGGCCACGGTCGGTGCGGATCATTGCGATTATAGCTATAAGTCGACTCAGACTGGGGACTGGGAACAGGACCCGGACCCGGACTGGGTGTCTGACTGAGAATCAGACTAGGATGGAAATCAGGCGTGGTGGCAGTGTCTGTGGTATGGGTATTGGGCGCGCCCACAGGTCGGCAGAAGAAGGGATCGTCGAGGACGGCAGAAGCAGAGGAGCCGCGGTAATTGGAGGAGGGGCCGGGGCCGGGATGGTCGTCGTCGGCTGGCAGCAAAAGGGCGCCCTGGGAGACGAGGAGCGATGGCGTTGCTGCTGAGGTCGGCTGTGTTGTTGACGAGATGGCAGCGGCAGAAGCGGAAGTAGCGGCGGTCGTGGCGTCGTCGAGATTGGTGGTCTTGTTGGTGTTTTGGTGGTCCTGGTGGAGGAGATGCGGATCGGCAGCACCCGCCGAGCTTGCTAGCAATGGATGAGTGGTGCCTAGTTTTGTAGGTGTACACTGAAGCGGCAATGCAAACTCGATGGGCGCACACAGATCGGCCGGCAGCTCCAGGCCCAGATCCAGGTCCAGGTCCAGGTTGGGGAGCTTGGGGAGGAGCTCGGGCAATTGGGGATCGTCAGCTTCAGCGTGACCCGACCCCGTGAGACCCAGCATTTGCTTGACTTGACTGATCAGCCGGCGCGACTCGGTCAGTGGTGTAGGCTGTAATTGCGACGGCGACTGCTCCAGCGGGGGGCCTGCCAGTGCGTCCGACAGTGGTGGTTCCGACATGGGCATGGACTTTTTTCCTGCGTTTCGAGAGGATGGGAAATCAATGCTTCAATGCTACGGCACCATGGCCATCTCGACTCCTTTACCAGACGGAATGATTGACAAGTCTAGGTAGGTCAAACAGTTTACGCAGTAGTATTAATAGGTAGTACGGATATCGGAAACATGAGAGTGGTTGAGTGATTAGGTAGTGGTGCCAATGATAACCCCCCCCCTTTTTTTTCCTTTTCCTCATCTCGCAGGTCCCGTCCGCGGCCAAGGGTTTAAAAGTGTAATGGCTGATGGGTCAGGTCAGTCAGTGAACGGACGGTAGTTTATTTGGTTCATGGTCTAAATAGGTACACTACTTCCGTCTATTCTCCATACAAGTCCCGTAGACGAAGACAGGTAGGTAATTACCGACCCAAAGTCTCTTTCGTGATGGGACACGAGTGGCACTGTTTGACTCCTGTCCTCCGTTCGCCTCAATGATTTGTCGGCCCTTGCAACGGCCTGGGGCCCGAGACAGCTTGCAGTCGTCAGACCGCAACTGGTCGTTCCAAAAGCAGAAAGAAGAAGCGGACGGCGCACTCTGCAATGCGAAATGACGATGGAGAGCAAAAAGAGGGCCACATCTGACGGACTGACAAAAGGAAGAAACCTCGAGATGGGAATGGGGGTGGTGCTGAAAGTGCGGGCCGAGTCCGTTTAGCAAGCCAGTGCGTGCCATTTATCGTGAAGACCGGTTTGTGGAGATTGATAAGACGGCATGTTTTTATTCTCTTTTTTTATTCTCTTGACACCGCACTCACATCGGACTTCAGGTCATTGTTTTTCATGACAAGGTCAAGCTACAGAGAGCCCTTTTGAGGGGCCGAACAAGCGAGAATGGTGAGAAGGGAACAGAAAGGAGACCTTCGTATTCCTACCGGCTATGGGGCAGGGCAAGCTCACACGTGCAGGACTTGTTGAAGCTAAAGGGCTCATAACAGTGGGTTGACCACTAACACGCCCAACTAGGCAGGTTTACCATGTTCGAATAACCACCCGCCGGGCTCCCAGGGTCCGGGCCTCCCAAGATTCAAATGAGGGCCGGGACGACACAACGAAACAGTTCGGAAGTCTGGACCTTTCTCCAACCCCACTGATCTCCCAACAGCCAACCCTAGAGGGGTGGGGGGGGTTGCTGGACATGGGCCAAAACTCCAAGTCAACACCAAGTCGGGTATATGATTTCAAATCGAATTTGACATGGAATAGGATGCCCCTTGGTATACTGACTTGGTATCCGACACCCTAGTATTAAATTAAGGTAAAAAAAGAAAAGAATTTTTTTCTTTTTTTCTTTTTTGGGGTAATACATCTTCTTAATAATGCATCTTCTTGGTAATGCATCTTTATTATATAATTTTCTTCACAAAGGCATGGCAGGAAATTGAACAGGAACGTTATGATTGGAAGTGTCTTATTTACTATCTAGGCTATGAAATAAATCTATTTAATGTGCGTATGTGAAATAGAGAAATAGTATTAATATAGGAAAGAGGAAGGCGCGGGAAGTAAAGTGGAAGAAAAGGAAGAAACAGAAGTAGGAGCTTTCTAATATCAAATTAAGGTAAAATTTCATGTTCTAGGAAATTCCAAATCTAGCCAAAACATCGATTCAATACCAAACCTCATTTTTTACTCTCCAATTCTATTTTAGAGCAAGAACTTCATTGCGATACCAAGTCTAGAAAAGAACTCCATTGCAATACCAAGTCCAGCGACCCCCCTCCCCCTGCAGGGAAGTGGATATCGACAAACTGCGTCGCGTCGACACGTCGTCCAAACCAGCCTGAAGCAGCCCAGCAGCATCGTCTCTTCCGGTGGTGGTCTTGGGTCCTGTGAGACACCCACGACTCCTCTCACTGCAAGGGAGTTCAGAGCCTCAACCCTCGCTTGGTCGGACCGATCAATGGGCGAGACGGACGAGCAAACATGGCGCGCCACAGCGTCACAGCGTCCGTCACAACAGGGTTAACTACGGACGTATCGTCAGTCCGTCCACGGACGCGCCGTGGTCGGTACATTCGGGCGGAGAACTCGGCGTGCAAACACCAAAACAAAACATCAAACTTTATTTCGAGGGGACGGATGCCGCTTGCCTCCATATGTACTACTTATCCATCCACCATATACAATGACGACTCGAGATGGTGGTGATAGCAGGTTGACGTTGACAAGATCCTCCACAACTGCTTAGTGTCACAATCACCGCCACAAGTTCCGAGAAACTGAAGCTGTCGCGCGTAGCACTTGTGCGCCCCAAACATCCGCTGCCCAGAAATGTTAGGCTCCGTGCCTTACTGACCGCCCTTACGCCCGCCGGACTGCCTGGCATGCTCAACGATAACAAGCTGGAGAACCTGGTCAGCCGGAGCCCGAACAGAAGAGCAAACTCCAAAAAGGGAAAAGTCGGGGCCCCGCATGGTGGCCAGGCGCTATCTGTGGAGGTCCGACCCGAGCCAAGGGATGAATGGCTATGAGAATCAACGAGATGAGAATGAGCAACGGTACAACATGCTTGGTGATCGATGCTTACTCGAATTCCAGATCGAGGTCGTCGGCTGTTTTGTCTGTCTGTCTCACACTCCTTGTCAGCTCAGTATGTGCGGTCGGCGTGTTACCAGCTACTTTGTCTGGTAGAGCCAAGACAAAAGATTCATTCCTAAACTTCTCTCAGGAAGCGATTATCCGCAGCCAGTCGCCTTGAACCACACAGTTGAAGCATGAATCGCGGCGTTCACAATACGCAAAGGGGGCAAGACGGGCGTACTCAAACTAATAACTAACTGCTCACAAATTCGTTAATAATGGTCCAAGGGCAAGCGAGGCACGAGTGCAAAATACCCCCTCATCCCATTCCAGTTTGGTATAATCCCCAGTCACGGGCGTAGCGCAAGTCAAGTGACACACATTGTCAGATTATATGTCTCGTCCATGTCGCTCATCTGCAAGATTCCAAGGCAGCGCGCGTGCCTTCTCACAATGTGACAATGGTCGAACATGGCCTCACGGCATTTGGCTGCCCGTCGACTGTTCGCTACCACGCTGTTCTACTGTACCATGGCCTCATGCACATAAATATTGAATGCGACAGCACGTTGCGTTGCTACTGTATTCTGTAGAGTAAAGTAGAGTCGGTCGTTCACCTAAAGGGCTAGAACCTCTTGGGTACCAGGACATACACAATAGGAACAATGGTTGGCGTAACATCCAATTTACCTAGCGATCCAGCTTTGCCCGTCATGTCAATCTTGGCGAGAATCATATGGAGACAAAGTTCGCCTCTGATCAAAAAGAGTTGGGGGAGGGAAGCCCACTCAATGAGGGGTCACAAGTCTTATTCAGGTACGACTAGGACAAGACGGGAACTGCCTGGAAGTACCAAAGGTAGAGGTATATACTTTCCTGTCCTCGCTCGCCCTTTACGGCTTCTTCCTGTCATACCACCCGTCGTCTTTGATGTGTCCATCCCTTGACAACTGTCCTTTGTTGAGAAAACTCAGACACAATCTTGGGGGCAAAGGCAATCCAACCGAAGCCAACTAGAAGAAAGCAACCTAAATATCCTCAAGACCATCGCCATCATCGCTACCTACCATCATTTGCTGTTGCTGTCGCCCCCGCCCTTCAAAGTACTTATCTAACTCCTTATTGTACTTTCCATCCGTCATCAAAATCACTACCTGAGGCCAGGTTTTCGGGATAAGTCGTCTAGAACAAGCAAGGGATGAGCTACGGCAAGGGCCGTGTCATAAAGCAAGAGCCGTTCAAGGCAACGGGTCGAACAACGTTGAGTGATGCATACTGTCGAACTGGCAGCTACTGCACGTCTAACATTTACACATACCTCAACGGGCACCGGGAAATATTCGCCTCCGAGCCAAATCGCTGAATAATTTCCATCCTTCCTGCCTGCATCAGCTCAGCCGTCGCACCTTCTTCGAGATGTCGTTCACCAAATGGTTCAAAGGAAGCGGAAGTGGAACGAACGACAAGGACGGCCCGAGTCTCAAAAACAGTCATCAGAAAAAGAAGAGAAGCGAAGACGAAGACCACTGCACTCAAGACGACATGGAAGGTTACGTCTATGACAACAACTACCACTACCAGCCCGCCCCTGGACTCCAACCTCAAGGATATGGATATTCGCAACGGATGGCGGCAAAGCCTAGGAAGCCGAGACTGGCGGCACAGGAGGGACACTTCGATGCCGAGGAACTGACGCGTCGACTTCTCGATGTGCTAGCCGAGCAAAAGACACACGAAATCAAGAAGCAAAGGATGAGAGAAGCTAGGACCGTAGCGGCAGCAACAGATCCAGCTACTCAATGGCAGCAACGGCAAGAAGCAGCGATATCTGCTTTGAACAGGGCCCCGACTGCAGCCGGCCGGACAACAGGTTTGAGAAAACCAAGCAAGTCGTACACCGACAACGATTCCGAAGCCGCCCCGGAAGAACAAGAGCATCGCCATGTACCTGAGGACGCAGCCAGAGCATTCAAAAAAACCGATACCAACAAAGCCATCTGCCGCCAAGACAAGCTCGACAAGCAAGCCCACGGCGAACACCGCCGTCAAATTAGTGAACATATTGTTGAGGTCCCCATGGAAGAGCGCATAAGGGCCCTGCCGTACCAGACTCAGCCCCGATTAACCCTGGCAGACGAGAAGCGCCTCAAGCGAGAACAGATACTCAATGAGGCATCACCAGCGGGCCACAAAGCTCATGGACAAACTGTTGTTGAAAGGGTCAAGAGACGGCATGATCTCAACCTGGAAGGGGCACTTTCGAGGATCTCGGTGGCCTGCGCGTCTGAAACCAACATTGGTGGACTCGACCATTCCAGGGCAGCATCAAAACCAGCACCAGCACCAATATCAGCAACGGCTGGCAAGCAGCAACCGGGGGAACGTAGCAAGGAGCCCGAATCTGTAATCTTCCCTCGTCCACTGGCCACTCGCACCATGACCACAACGCAAGACCAGGCCACCTCCCGGCAAGGACACCAGCCAGCAGCACCCTCAGCAGCAGCACCACAAACAGCACCAGAGAAGAACACCAATTCGGTAGAAACGACCCTCTGTAGCGAAAACGACGACTTATCAGCTCTCCCCTCACCCACGACAACCCAGTCTCAAAGCCAAAGCCTAAGCAAGCGATTTCGAGCCTCCCCCTTCGTCAAAAAGTCCCCATCTCTCTTGAACCTGCGCCAAAAGCTCGGCATGACCGGAGGCTCTGGCTTCGGCTCCGGTTCGGGCTCCGGCTCCTCCGGCTCTCCCGGTTCTCCAGTAACCGGCAACAGTAGCGGCAGTGGCAGTGAGCTGTCTACAGCCACCACTGGGATTTCGAGAGGAGAGGAAGCTGCAACGTCACCACTTACTGCGGCGTCTTCTTGTCGTGCTGGTGCCGGGGCGGATAACCAGCCGCAGACGCAGACGCAGACGCAGCAGGGGTGGGGGTTGCTGAAGAAGACGGCGACGGTGATAAGTCAGGAGAAGGAAAAGACGAGGATGAAAAGTAAAAAGAGTGGGTTCTTTGCTAAGCTTGGGGGTAGTGTGAAGAAGGGAATGTTTTGAGTAGAGTTGCTTGTGTTCTTCTGTGTCTTGATGAAGTATAGGCTATGCATGGGATGATGATGGAATACGTAATGATGACGGGTATGGATGGCGTAGAGTGGCAGGTAACCTAAGTTTGGTAAACGTCTTGGGTTTTGGAACAAAGGCGGATTTTGGACGGCGAGGAACTATTCTAAATTCCAGTGATCAAGCTTTCGGCTTATGCTATACTGTATGTGGTGTTAAAGTTACCGATATACACCAGCAGATATGCAACGTTGGCAAGTGTTTGTATACAGTTTATATGTTGTCAAGTACAAGTAATTTTCTGTTGTCCCGATATCTGACGTAGAACGAACGATGCCACTGAGGTATGGTTACTCATAACAACCCACTAGCCATGGTGACTTTGTAACTCGGACGAGTATCCAAAGCAATGATGGTTCATCCGATGTTACGAATCACCGTCGTATGCCATACTCCCTCGTTCTAAAACCATAGATAGAGCAAGTCCATTCAGCCATAGCGTGGAGCAACAATTTCCCATCTACGCCGCGTATTTCCATTCTGAAACCGCGCTCGGGAGGTTGTGCAAATGCTGGTGATCCACTGTGGTTACATTTCCACATCAAGTGAAGCCCCCAGTCTACCCAACCAACTGCCCCTTTTGATGCGGTTACTTGAGAGTAGTCAAGGAGAAAGGAGTTAAGGAAAGGTCCCATCACCAACCGCGCCATAACTACCAAGTCGCTCCCGTTCCGAAGACTGGTGCAGTTGCGTCGGCCCTATGAGCGCGGATATGCTCAGTGACCCGAAAACTCAAACACGATATATCCATGACAATAAATCCTTCTCCTCTCTGGGTATCTTTTTTTGGCACTTGAAAGCCATGACCTCTTCTTATACCGGCTTGCTTACTTGCTGTGTGTACATGTTTCCAACAGCCAGCCAGCCATCTTCCAGTGAAATAAACAAAGTCGGCGTTAGGACCATCACTGCTTCGGTCCGTCACTTTTTCCTTTCCCTGCCCTTTTTCCGATGTCTGCTGTTCAGACAGGTATCGTTGGCAAAGATCAATCCATTCGTTGGGTCAACCACGCAGTTTAGCGGCCCCAACCCCTTTGACACCCTGCCTCCCTCACTCCATGTGAGTCCTCCGTTTGTTCGTTAATCATCGAATATCTTCCGCCCTCACTAGGGAACTTCAGCATCCATCTCTCCATGGCTATCCACGTGGAAATATTTGCCATTCACCGATCCCCACCCTCCCCCTTAATCTCCTCCTCCAACAACTTCTTCACCACCTCCTGTTCCTCCTTGACAACTTCCTCCCTAACCAGCTGCGTCACATCCCTCCTACTCGTCCCAACACCATTACTATTACCACTAGGCCTAGCCAACTCCCCCCTTTCCTGACCATTCAATAGCCAAAGCACCGTCTCACAAAGCTCCCTGATCCCATCTCCCGTCTCACTCGGATCCGTCCTCGCGCTCCTCAAAGCCGCAGCCCCGCGACGCAATCCCACTTCCCTAGACCAGGGCTGCGTGTCTTTCTTGAAATAGGACTTCCCCGAAGAGGAGGCGTAGCCGGGGACGTTTACACGAACGGGGAGGCCGGAGGCGGTGGTGGCGAAGCCGGTGTTGGGGTCGACAGGAAGGCCGTTGGGGTTGTTGGCGGGCGGGAGGGTTTGAGAGAGGATGTGGTTGAGGCGAGACTCAAGGTGAGGGTATTTGGATAGAAGGCGGGTGATGTGGTGAGCGTGGGGCAGGAGGAAGGCTAGGGGGTCGTTGTCAATGGGTTGTTGTTGTTGTTGTTGTTGTTGTTGTTGTTGTTGTTGTTGTTGTTGTTGTTGTTGTTGTTGTTGTTGTTGTTGTTGTTGTTGTTGTTGTTGTTGTTGTTGTTGTTGTTGTTGTTGTTGTTGTTGTTGTTGTTGTTGTTGTTGCTGCTGCTGCTGCTGCTGCTGGTGGGTGTTGGTGGATGGTTTGGGTTGTACCTCGGAAGGAGGGGGGTGGTTTTCTTTGTGGGACTTGTTGCAAGCTACTGAGCAGCTGTTTGTGATGATGAGTACGCATGTTGGGCCTGAGCAGATAAGGGTTTGTTTTGTGAAACTTACTACATAAGCGGGCAGCGCGGACACCTGTATTTCCCTGGCTGCGCTTGACAGACACCACATTGCTTCGCTTCCTTCTTGACAGGTTTTGGTGATGATTCTGGTTCGTCCCCCGGGCTCGGACGTTTTCGTGATGGCGAAGCGGGCTCTTGATTCACTGTTGGCTCCGCGACTTGTGCCTCTTGCTGTTGATCGTTTAACTTTCTCGTTACGTAAGTCGGCTCTTTCTTTGGTTCTTGCTCGATCTGAGGCTGTATTATGATGTCTGATTGGTCTTCTGAGCTTGGCTGTCCGTTGACTTGTATAGTATCTTGGTCATTATCCTGGGTGACTGAGGCCTCATCGCGGGCACCGGCGATGAGCGCCTTTAACTCATCGGCGAACAGTCGCTGGGACTCATCCGAGGCCATTTTCGGGCCACCTTCGACGGACTCGGCACTCATTGCACCCAAATGATCTCTCAGAAACGCGCGGCTTTCTCAATCTAATGGGCCGAGACCTGGCAATATGTCAATGTCGATAGTGAGGGGCGTGGCGCGCAAAAGGTGAGAGGTGACAGTGAGCGAATGCTGAAGAGCTGTATGTTTATATGATGGCACCGTAAAAGTAAATTCGAACTCGTTGAGTGAAGGCCAGTTTTAGTTTTGTGGCTGGGATATCTCTGAGTGAAGGGTTTCGGTTTGTGAGGTTGAATTGAAATTTTCGAAACGGAAATCGTATCAATATCGCCAAAAGTCGCGATCCGCAGTTTTTGCCAAGCGACCAGGGAAATGCCGATAGGGCGACAAGGACGTGAAGCGAAGGATGTAAGTCGTCGAATATGATTGGCACTCAGCTCCCTCCGTCCAAGCAAAGAAATGCGTTGTCCGTGTGCTGCAAAAAAAGATGGTGGACTTGGGCAAAACATCAAAACCTATGGAATAAACTGAATAAACTGCACCACGGGTCCTTCGTTCCAAACCAAAGTCCCGCCACAATCCCCAATCCAATCAGCGTAGAGGCTGACAAACCACTCCGTCAAAATTGCAGTCAATTGCCCCAAAGGGGAAGCTATGACGCAAAAAGACGGATCAGTTAGAGCTCAAGGTGCATACTGTGCACTGGACCCCTGGAGCCGGCATGGCAGTGGACGCATATCGGCGCTAATCGCGTTAGCGTTAGCGGCCGCTGACAATTCCATGCCCGGCACGGCGGCAACATTTCGGAATAGCGGGTAGTACCTATGGATGGAGGTGGAATCTGTTTCGGCGTCAACCAGTTCCTTTTCCCATCTTCCTTTCCCGTCCGAAGTCGCCGTGTTTCTTTCACTCGACGGCATTCCGACAAAAACACCAACACCACCACCACCGACGATGCCACTAAATAGACTATTATTACGAAAAGGCCTAGTGCCTCTCGTCTCCAAGTCGACCGTGCGACCCGCCGCGACAACCATCCCGTGTCTGCGCCAAGGTGCTTCCGCTTCCGCTCCCGTCAGCACCAGCACCAGCACCAGCACCAGCACCAGCAGCAGACAAGCGCATACCGTCGCCCGTTCGGCCGCTCGTCCCCGTCTTCAGCAACAGCCATGGGGGGCTCTCAACACCACCCTCGCGCCCCAGCAGCAGCGCCGTACCATCTTCATCCAGACCGAAAACACGCCTAACCCGGACTCGCTCAAGTTCCTGCCCAACCAAAAGGTCATCCCGGACTCGATCAAGACGCCCTTCATCGAGTACATGAACGCGCGTAGCACCATTGCGCCACCGTACCCTTCGCCGCTGGCCGCGCAGCTCATGAACATCGAGGGAGTCACCTCAGTCTTCTACGGCACCGACTTTATCACGGTGACCAAGTCGGCCGACGCCAACTGGGCGCACATCCGCCCGGAGGTGTTTGCACTCATCACCGAGACCATCACGTCGGGCCAGACGATTGTCAACGTGGTGGAGCGCAATGAAGGGGAGGAATCCACGCAAGAGTCGGACGAGAAGGATAGCTTGGCGTACGACGAGAACGACAGCGAAGTGGTGGGCATGATCAAGGAGCTGCTGGAGACAAGGATCCGCCCCGCGATCCAGGAGGACGGTGGCGATATCGAGTTCCGCGGGTTCGAGGATGGAATCGTCAAGCTCAAGCTGCGCGGAGCATGCCGGACGTGCGACTCGAGCACAGTGACGCTGAAGAACGGAATTGAGGGCATGTTGATGCACTACGTAAGTCTTTTTTCCTCTGGCCGCTGTCTCTTTTCCGGCCTGGTTATGGCTTCAACAAACACGTTGCTGACATGCTGAACAACACCCACAGATTGAGGAAGTCCAAGGCGTCGAACAGGTACTTGACCCCGAAGAAGACATAGCATTGCAGGAGTTCCAGAAATTCGAGGAAAAGTTGTTGAAGCAAAAGGGCGAAGTCCCTCCCACCACCGTAGGGAAGGACTCCTTGGATTCTGTCCCTGGCTAATCCGTTTCTCTTGGGGGGCCTCACTCACTATCTTTCTTAGATTGAAGAACCGTCCTAGAATTCAACCATAAGCTTCTTATACCATGTCCGTACCGTACCGTACCGTATCCTCTACTCTCAAAATGGCTCTCGCCCTCAGATATACCCACCATTGGATATAAACCATACTTGATTCAACCTGGACAGGAGGAGTATACCATAGTACCTCCCCATGTCAACTTGAGCGGATTGAATTTGGTGTCCTTGTTTGTTCCCTCGGCTTGTTCCGATTGCAGACAGCCTTCCGTGAAATACAAATTCGATAAGAAATCATGCGGGTAGGGAACCCGCAAGGTCGTACAAGCCACTCTCGGGGTGGTATGTGGAGCATGGGATATGGAGAGAATTGGAAGCTTCCCCGCCCCAACCTCAACCATCTGGATCTAAGCGTAAAGGTGCAATCGATGATCGATAGAATCAGCCTGTTGACCGGTCAGGGTTCTGGAGGTATCTCGCTGTATGCAGGGTGTCATGTCATATCAAGGATGAACGAAGGGTAGTGGGGTGGTCAGGTGCCGATGATTGCCGACACAGCTGCAAAATGCCACCGATACCTTGTGTCATAAGAGTTGGGGTTATGGCGTTGATGATGGTTTTGTACTGGGTGGGATGGGTTTGTGGATGTACGTAGTGAAGTATATATGTGGAGGACACTGGTCATATACCTCAACAATGATGATTTACAGCGCAATTTGAGCAAAGGAACAAATGCATACAGCAGCGCCAGATATCGTGAAACAGCTGGTACTCGCCTCTCATGACTTGACATGGCTTGGGAGCCTCGCAAGTAATGCCTCAAAAAGCAGACGCTTCTAGACCTAATAACTTGCAAGTCCTCAGTTTCCAGCAGTGTTTTGTTGTCTCGACTCCACATTTACATAGTTCAATCCTACCTCGGACGGCACGACGGTTTTCAGAGTCTGGGGAAGTGCGGCATGAGCCATCCATGGATCATCTACCTACTTCCTCGTACATATTAAGTTGCTCAATAGCGAGTCGGCTTTGCTGATGGTATCCATGACATGTTCCAAACACTTATCCGTAGCATGGAGTACGTACTCTCGAGATACTGTACCTCGTTCTGGTGGAACCTCCTTACGCTAGTTACTCACGTTGTGTGTGTCTAATGATGTCTCCCTTGCCTAGGCTAGGCGCCAGAACGCCTCTCGGTCTGCAGCGAGTTCTGTCTAGAATACTAGGTGCCATGCACACCGGGTTGCTGCAGACGGCTTGTTGCCTTGCTGGTCAAATAGTAGAGGGTTGGTGAGTCTATACTGGTGCACACGCCTACGTTGTTTTTGTGCTTTCGTCTTTCACCACGAAGATCATCCCGTTGTTTCTGATGGAAACTTTCCGAAAAGTGTTTCAGGGTAACCCGGACTCTCGTGAAGAAATCTTACACAGGAGTTGAGTATGACCTCAACCTCCCTCCATGACGTTCTCATGAAATGATAGTCGTATGTTGTGTTGTGTTTCCATCTGGTAGTGTCCGTTCGTGGCGGGTTGGAGATCGTCGATCTGCGAAAGGGAGGAGGCACGCCAGTCTGCCACCTCCACTTCAGCAATCAAGAATTATGGTGCGGCAAGGTGGCCAGAATATGTTGAAATTGTGGCGTGACAAGGTAGGCAAAGAGACACTCAGATAATATCTGAAGCGATTCTTCGACGAGCTTGCCTCCGTGCGTCCGCTTGGTGGACATGAAGTTGCCAAGGTTTTAGGGTGACAATCGGAAACGCGAATGACTTCTTTTGCCTTTCCTAGTTGCCTTGTTACTGATCGAGGACGTATTACTGCATAGTACCGGACTTACTATGCAGACTCGCAAAGAGGACAAACTACCCAGAGCTTTGCCAAAAAAGCCGTGGAACTGGCCTAGGTACCAATGAATGAGACTGCGGGCGAGGGATGTATAGCAGACTGGCTCGAGACGAAGTGACAGTTTGATGGCAGATGTGAGAACGCCCTATGTGAATGGAGATGGGGTGATGAAGACACAGGGGTCTTGGAGAGCGCCCCCTCACTCTCCAACTCCCCTGACCATCTAGGGTTGAGGATGCCGGACCGCCCCTTGTCGTACCCGTTGTGCGCTATGGCCTTTTCCCCAACCTTCAGGGGGGCACTTAATACCCAACTGTCCGTTCTTTTTGCGGGGCTAGGCGCGGGGTACGTAATATTCAACGACGGGTTCAGCGGGAGATGATGCTCGAGGAGGTGCCCATCACGTCGACGGGGTGGGGCGGGGCCGGTGCTACTACATTGGGCCCGATTGCCACACGCATCAACCTGCGATGTGAGATGCTTGGGAAGCGGAAAGTGTACACTAGAGGTCCCTCTGTCACCCTGTGTTTACTCGTTGAGGGCCGGGTTTCAAGCATCGCGGTTGCGCCATGTGTGATATACGATGGCCCAGCGTGGGTGGATGTCGCTTGCTTATGTTCATGACACCTATGCTAGTCTCGGGCCTGAGAACGCTGTGCAAGTAAGTAGGTACCTGTTTCATTTAAGGCATAGACGAATCGGCTACACTGGCTGAATACCTGTACTTCCTCGGAATAGCTTCGATCTTTGGCTAGTCCTTGTCGCTCACATCAACCTTTAGACTGAGAAGTCATGATTCATGTGTAGCTTGGTTTCTCTGGCTTCGGGTATCTCTGGATGTTGATGATTTCAGTTTCCCCATTGCACGTGAGGTGGCTGACTGGGCGAAGGTGACAGGCCGCCTCGTTCAATGTCTTGATTAGTGTTATTCTTTGTCCCAACTTAATTCGAGAGATAACCCAAAAGTGACGAAAAGTGCAACTTGAGGGGAAGAAGTTGCGGTACATCAAGGTACAGGCCACTTGGTAAGCTGCCCGCCGGCCACAGCTCCCGTCTCTGCCCCCGCAAGGGTACCGTGTGTCTCACCCTGCACATGGAATGGGGAACTGGGGGATGGAAGGTGGACATCCAACTGAAGGAAGCGGTCCCTCATCTGGAAAACAACTAGGAAAGTGAAAGTTGTCAGAAAATGATGATGGGGAGACGAGCGGGAGTGGATCATGTCAACGAAGGGAGCCAAAGCCATCGCCAGCTCCGCCATTCAGAGGGCTGTAGAGGTATGCGCCATGGAGAGCACTGCTTGAAGAAGATGCAGATGCAGCGCCATGAGGTTACATCACATCGATTGCGCAGAAAACTTCCATCTTTCCCCCGTTACTGGGCTTTGCGGTGATCTGCGGAGGCGGGATGGATGGAAACGAACAAGACCTGGAAGTAGGCGCCTTTGTCTCCTGTCTATCGGTGCAGGATCCGGGGAAGGAAGCAAGGGAACGCTGCTCGGTGGATTCCATGATGATTATCGGATTTGACTGCTCGATACCAGGTAATTTCCCCATTTGGGCTTGTTACGGTTCGGAATAATCCCTTGGATACATTTTCCACATCATCTGAAGACTGTCAATATTCCGAGGCTCTCTATCCTGCCTCCGCAATGGTGATATCGGTGATGGTGGGTCATGGAGAGAACCAAGATCGACCCCCAGACGGCCCCGGCTGTTTTTTTTACCAACGGTGCCCGGCCGGGACTTGTGTCTCCACAATTCACAGGGCTGGTCGGGTCCTCAGATGCGGCCCCGCAAAGGAACCGATTGAGGAATATGGGGAAGAGGGAGATAATCAAGATGGAACCCGGACCATACATACCTATACTACCTCCTAGGCCCGGGCCTCAGCGTGAATGACTTATACCCATGCCGTGATGGTCCAGGATATCGACCTGACGATCCCCCAATCCGGCATCTGTGCAGATGCCCCGGACTACGCAGTATGTAGACTAGTCGTGAGAATGAAAAACAGACAAACCATGCCGGTACTCGATAAAGTAAGTAGGTGCTGTGCAACAACAACAATCCAATTTTGCACTCAGCAAGCCGAACCCCTCTCCACCTCGTTGTCTTTGATGCGAGACGACACGTTAGAGGTTTACATTCGGACTCCAATCGGCCTCTTTGTTCACGTTCACTGGGCGTTGCCGTCGGGTCCAAGCCTCGAGTTGAGAGTGTGTGTGGCCAGGCTCGCGGGGTTGCGACCTTCCACTTCCAAAGCTCTCCCGAATAGGGCGGGATGTTCGTGAACCCCAGTTGACCGGCGACACCACGCTACACTCTCCCTCGTGGACACTCATCACCAGGACACCATCTTCTTATCGTTTGCCCCGATGGTCACTCCATTCCCTTCTTGAGCCAGGATTTTGCCAGTCCGTTGTTGTCAGCTCATGTTTGTCAATCTTTCCGCCTGTCTTGGGTCTTCATGTATTGGAGTTAGGTAGAGGTAGGGCTGGACTTGAGCTCACCACGCCCGCCTCTCTGTTTCTGACCCATTGCGGTCATTGTTTTGACCTCCCCCAGAATCCGTTGACGACGCGGACAATGTTGACTCCACACCTGATTTCATGCATGCCAGGGCCCGGGGAACAAAAAGGGGACGGTGCGGGACCTCCATTTAGTGTACACTATTCCTGGTCCCCCAGGATGCGGCAGATGGCGCCGTGATTGGTCTTTGGACATGGGGAGCGGAAGCGCTGCTTTGTCTTTGCCACGGAGGCCCATATATGACGGCACCAAGCTGGGTTCGGCTAGCCTGATCCAGGATCCAGCCACTAATAAGCAGCATGTTTCCAGCCTTCCCCGCTCACCCTTCGAAGGCTCGAACCCACACCTGGTGGTCCATCCTCCGAGCCTCCGTACCATTTTATACCGTTACATGCTATTACATACATAGTACCAGGCATTCCAGCATTCTAGTTCTAGGCTGCGAGTCCAGTGACCACTTGGATCGATTCGCGCTTCGACAGTTTGTCTCTTTTTAGTCCCGCCAGGGCCAGCTCCAGCTCCGGCCTGCAGCTAGCTCCCTTCATCTTCTTCCGTCCTCACCCTCCCTCCCTCCAGTTCGCCCTTCCTTCCCTTCCATCTGCACTTCGCGTCGTCAACCCTTTCCCACCCCGTATTGATCGTCCGCGGCCGACACGCGCGCGCAACACATCCATCACTCGCCCCCCCCCTCTCTCAGGCTCGGCTTGTTGAAACCGCTACCCGCCGTAGACTGCGCGCATCAGCTGATCCTCCGCCCGCCCCGTCATTTTGGTCCCGAGAGCCGGCTCGTACTTCAAGTTGCGCCGCTTCACTTTCGTCGCCTTCCGCCGCACCTCCGTCGCACTTCCGTCGGCGTCTAACCCCTCCTGCCTGCCGAGCTTAAATGCGGGCTCACCACTTGAACAACTAGATACTTCAGTCTGTCCTCTTTGTCACCAACGCCAACCGTCCTGCGTCTTCCACACCTGTCGAGTCCTGGTGTTTTTCGAGCTTCCACCTCCTCATCATCCTGTCGCCAGTTCCAACCTAATCATCTAGTTACACGTCGTGACTGCGGTCGGTTGTGACTTTCCAAGCTGCTCTCAGTCCGATCGTCGCACACAAGAACCTACTTGCTCCTTCATTGGGTCCTCTGCGGTCTGTTCAACCCGCGTGAGGCGCAAATCGGTGCCCGCTACAGCAGTATTGGCCGCTCCATGACTCTAGTGTGGACGCCCGCCAAATCATCCGTCAGACGTTAGGGTTGTTTAGGGAGCCAGGCATCCCGTCTCTTATGACAGGTTTCTCGAAAGAGCTCAGAAAAGTTCTAGGATCCTACATCCTGTTTCATTATCACCGTGCGGGCCTCAACCAGCAACGTATGTCTCCCAGACTCGTCATACTCATTCCAACACTTCCCTAAATTCCTTTTTCTTCCCAAAGTCTCCAATAATTCTGTTCGACCCTGACTGCCAAGGCGCTGAAAGCGTCCTTTGGTTTCCTTGTGTCGGGGCCGCGGCAGTACGTCGTGCCGAATAAGCTAACAGTATGCTCGCAGAACTGTACTGTAGTTCTTCGCACCATCTTCCATCGACCAGTTGACGCTCGATTCCCTATACTATCCCTCTCGAGTACATCAAGGCCATCACAACAACTCCCACGTGTCTGTGGCTTGCCAGATAGCGGGTGGGGTGTATAACCATATCTGGTCAAGAAGCGTTGGCTTCCCGAAGAGGCATATCTGTTTCCTCACAAGAGAGTCAAGCTTGACGACTCAGCCTCCTAGGCTGACCCTCCACCATGAGTTCTGGCACAGGTAAGCCTGCTCTACAGGCAAAGACAGGGCAGGGCAACTTTGCCGCGGGCATGCCCAGCACGCAGGCGATACTGCTGGACAAGCTGAACCGTGGCTCGACTCCTGACTCCGAAGCCTTGGCGAGCTCAGACGACGAAGTTGACCCACTTCGTCAAGAACCTCCGCCTACCTCAACACAAGCTCCCAAGCAACCTGTCCGCCGGGCATCATGGCTGAATGATACGTCTCAACCACCACCGCCGCCCCGCCAGCGGAAAGAATCGTTTGCGAGCACCTCCATGTCTCCTACAACTTCCCACCCCAGCACGCCAGCTGTAGATTCTGGGGTTGGTGCCTGGGGCACCCATCCGGCTGCTTCTGCAGTCCATGGCCGATCCCATGCTGGACCTAGTCCATTCAGTACTACATGGGGTGCAGGAATCTGGACAAACGAGAGGAATAACCCTCCCTCTCGTTTAGCAGAGGTCTTGCCTTCGCCGACATCTGGCATACCGCCTGGCAGCTCGGGCGGCTCGTTTTTTGATAACGCGCTAGCTCAACAATCGGTTGGCTCCAGAGATACAGTCCCAAACCCTCAGATTCCGTTCCCGATTCCTCTCCATCCTACGCCCAAAACCTATCGATCACAGTCGTACTCCGTTGGGCAGCTTGACCCAGAAACATCTCTTCCTTCTGTTGCCACATCCGCGGTTCTGGGCGGTCGTTCGCGTCCGTTAGGCCATCCCGGCTTGCAGCATCGTCCTTCTCGGCCTAGTATGTTGAGTGAGATGGCAAATGATGGCTCCATGCTTGGAAAAGTAAATGAAGACGATGACGATGATAGTACCGGCTCTCTCCAGGGGGCCAGTCAGCAGCAGTCCGCTGAAGCGAAAGCTATTGAGTCGTTGATGCGCGAGAATGCCATCCTGCGCCAGCAGAATCAGTATCAAAGTTCGCGTTTGAGACCTCGGGCATCTACCTCGAGTGTGTTTGGGTTAGGAAACGCGTACCTCCAGGAGGCTGTTCCCGAAGAATCAGATTTTGCTGTTGATGAGCTTGATGAGGCGAACGATGGGTCTGACCTCGGCAGGAGGAATCTGGCCAGACGGATGAGCGAGTTTGGTGTAGGCCCGTATCGCACCCCTTATATGGCGGATCATAGGAAAGTTGATAACACCAACCTAAAGAGGGCCCTCTGGCAAACATCTCTCGGGTTCGGGGGACTGGGAGATATTCCGCAGAGCAGACGGCACTCGTTTGCTGATGTGCCAGTCCGGCAGAACTCCATTGCTTCTATTGGGGAAGGGATCGCACCACACGAAATCGGCCCTCATGATTCTGCGCCTGACTACGCTTCTCCCGGTTATTCTGATGCTATGGCACTGGCCAATGCTGCTCAAGGTACGATAAAACAGTCCATCTCTCATCAGTCTCCTTCTCAAACACTAACGTCTTCCAAAGTACAAAACTACTTTACGGGAGGTTCATCGCATGCCCTCGCCCAGTCAGCCTATGGAAATCAGTTTCCGTCGCCATACTCTATGCTTCCCAACGCGTACGCCAACAGGCCCAACTCACCGCATCGTAACATGTACGGTGCAGCACAGCCGCGACATGACCAGCCCCTCTACATTGTCCTTTTCAAGTGTGCTAGGGCCGATGTCTTCTATATCCAGGAAGGCACAGGGCTTACCGTGAAACCTGGCGACTTGGTCATAGTGGAAGCTGACCGTGGCACGGATCTCGGCACTGTCGCCAAGGATAACGTTGACTGGAAGACTGCAAAGGAACTCAAGGAGCACTATGCCGAGGAGCAATATAGATGGCTCATGATGTACTCTCAGAACGCAGGAATGGCCCAAGATGGTGTTGGTGCTGGCCTTATGGCGGCCTCAAACCTGCAAGGAAGTGCCGTTGGCGGCATGGGGCCCGCCGGTCAACACCACATCCAGGAGCCTACTTCAGGAGAACTGAAACCGAAATTAATCAAGAGGCTGGCGCAGGCTCACGAGATTCACGCTCTGAGAGAGAAGGAGGGAAATGAGGCCAAGGCCAAGCGAGTGTGCATGCAAAAGGTCAAGGAGCATGGCTTGAACATGGAGATTTTGGATGCCGAGTTCCAGATGTAAGTCATACGTGGAAATGCGTACTTTGCAATCAATTCACTAACTCTACGCTAGGGACTGGAAGAAACTGACCTTCTACTACTTCGCCGACTCCTACATCAACTTCAATTCTCTGGTTACCGATCTCTTCAAGATCTACAAAACTCGGATCTGGATGTCAGCTATCAACCCCGCCTCTTTTGCGAGCCCTACCCTTGGCTTACAGGCGCCTAGCGGAATTGGCCCCGGGGCTGTCGGTGTCAGCCGCGCCTCTGCAGCAACTGAACGCCGTCAAAACACGCAGCAACATGACCAACAAAGCGTTTACACTGCTGCTGGTCAAACGGGGCGGAACATCCAAGGGGGGTTCCCAGGCGCCTTCACCCCTGACCGGGCAACGGGACCAGGATCTGGCTACTCTTTACAAACTTATCCCTGGAATTCTTACGTTCCGTTCGGGGCCGCTTCGAGACCCGGACCCGGACCCGGACCCGGACTCGGAGGACTGTCATACGCTGTGCCCGGTATGATGCCGAATTCCGATACCTACACAGCCGGTGGTTTCCCACCGGCGGTAGACTACTCTGCACGATCCCGATTCCCAACACCCCAGGCAAGCTCTGGGCAGCACGAACAGATAGGCTCTGCACAAGGGGCACAGGCAGACTGGGCAACAGCGTTCCAAGGCCTTTCTCTCAAGTCGAACCCTCGTTGATACCTCTTCAAGTTATCTCTGGCCCTTCTTATTCAGGTTTGGGACGGTTCGCATCGTCGTGGTTAAACATCGAACATGGGAGCTGCTCTGGCCAAGGGAACCGATACACGAGATCTGGGGACAACACATTAAAGTGACTGCAGGTGGACCATATGTTCACCAGTACAAGACCATGGAATTTGTCAAGTTGCACTACTCCAGTCAGTCATCTTCATTGAGTGCGTCGACTGTTGATGATCAGTTAGGATGACAAGGCAGGCCAAAGACTGATATACGACCATCTTTTATTCTTGCACGGACGGAGTTGAAACAAAATAATAGACAGACAGACAGAGAGAAAGTAAGACAACAGACAGACAAACACAAATGAGACATTGTATGGGATGGGATGTTTCAGTTCTACTTATATCACGACATGACCAAGATAATACTTTGCTTCAGGGGGATCGCAGACGAAGATGGCTGAGGTACTACTTTCGTTCATTCACTTGTTTCTTGTTCATTTCACACCCATTCATCACCATCTCGTCTTCACGACGGGGTGCAGAATCCGCCGCCATGCCTGTGTTATAATAGTTGCCTCCAGGGGTCCCATCATTCAATTGATGCAGCGGCAAGAAATTGATGGCAGCCATAGACACGCAAAAGAAGAAAAAAAAGATTAAGAAGAAGAAGATGAAGAAGAAAGACAGAGACACAAGAACGAGCACCAAAGGGGGCATCAAAGAGACCAGCGTTGCAACGGCTTTCGGGGCAGACGAGATATTATGGGGTGTAATCTGTTTAATACAACAGAGCGGAACTTTGTTGTATAGGATAAAGCGCATGTTATGGGATACAGACGGCTTATGGCAATGAATAGGTACTTTTTCCTGTTAGTTTAGTCCGCAAATTCTGCAAGTACTCGTTCGATTCTGCTCTTCCCTATTGCCCTTGTCCTTCGGTGAAGATGATCTCAGTGGTATGCTGAGAATGGCTAAGTATGGTGACAGGTTTCGTTTTCACAAAATCACATGGATATCTAATGATGTTGTAGGTGTATCGGATGAGCAGAATATGTGTGTACTGCGTAAATGTTGTGTTTCGATGTTCAGTGGCCATATCGTGCCTTCCCCAGATGACAATGGTAAACTTCCACCTTCATGGACAAGGAAGGAGCGAAGGATGGACAGAGACAAGCCCCATCAAGGCCACCAAAGCGAAGTCCGTATGACCCAGGATCGAAATTCTCCTCCTCCATTTTTCCGGTGGAATCTTGGGAAAAGGGAAGTGTGCGTTCTGCCATAGAGCGGGTTAGATGTTCTGCTCCTGCCGGCCGCTCACTTTCCAATCCGTCTTCGACACCATCAAGACCCATCGATCCTCATAGCCATGCCTCCTAAAAGGAGAACGAGTGCCGCAAGCGGAAATGCCGCGCAGAGCAAGCAACAGCCTCCAAAGAGATCCGCCTTGTCTCTTCTAGATACCGACAGCGACGACAAGAAACCGGCACCAAAGCGATCCGTGAAGCGGGTACGGAAAACCCAGACCCAACCACGAACTAAACTTAGCAGCCATGGGCAAGAAGATGAGGATGCAGATGAGAATGGCAGTGATGATGCTGGTGGGGATATTCCACATGTGCAGGTTGCGAATATCAATCGGTAAGTTGCGACTTCCCCCAGATATGATACTGATGACTGCGGGTTGCTGGCTGGCACTAACAGTGTCACCATTGCCATCCCCATGTCTGATAACTGACTGCTGTTCTCGTATCTCGCATAGCAAACGGAGCAAGCCTCGTAATGCACCGCCAGCGACGGTTGAAGAGTACTTGATGGAGCAGAACCAGCAGGCCAAGGAGTTCTTGAAGGGCTTCAAGGCGGAGCTGGTGGAAAGCCAAACTCAGGCGGAGGAGAGTTCGAAGACGTTCAAGCAGGAGTTGTAAGTTCAAACGCTTTCTTTGTATGCTTCCCATCTGCAAAATAGGCAATAATCGATCAAAAAATATCCGCCTTATCGCAAAAGGCGACACTAACCCCTTTATTCTCCAAGACACAACGTCCAGACGAACGACAACGAGAAAGATTTTCGCAAGGTTTATGCCACCCTGAAGGCAGCCACATCGGGCAAAACGAAGAATTCCAACGAGCTCAAGGAAATGAATCCCTTGTTCACGAAAGGGGAAAAACTCATCAAGATATGCCGCGACATCCTCCAACGTCACCAAATCGCTGTCAGAGACTCGCAACAAGACAAGCCAACTGTGCCACGAGAGATCTGGGAGCAGGACCACCAAAAGATGCGACAGTTGCTGGACTACGGGAAGGACTACGGACAGAAGTTGGTGGAGGGGATCATCAGTCCCGATGTAAAAGGTGATGATAGTCCCACTCAGGAGAAGGAGAAGGAAGCCGGCTTGAGTGAAACTGAGACACTTGCTATTGGGCTGTTTGACGGGTCCAAGAAGAAGAGCGAAGAGACAGAGCGCTGGGGGAGGATTGCATATGCTCAGGCAAGGGCTTTGGCAGCCGTTGTTAAGACTGTGCCGTAGAATGATGGCGAGAATGTTTAGGGCGGAAGTAAGGATTTATGAAGCATCGTGGACCTGAACATAATGGTATTCTGTTGTTCGTGGGATCATGTCACGGAAGGAGGACATCGACAAGGGGAAATCTATCATGAAAGCGATGTAGAGGGGGTTCTCCGGGTAACTCGCGGCTGTGGTCAACCAAGGTCCGCCGATACTTAGTTGTCGTTACCATGGCAGACAAGTGATTGACCACAGTTTTAAACATCTCCAGCCTTTGGCTGATATGGGATTCGTCTAACCTTTTGGTCAAGCACATGGTATTTGCCGAGGCGGTGTCGTTGATGTTGCCAAGACTTCGAATTCAGTGGGGCTTACGTGCACGAGCCACTATAAGCTAGCCCGAAGTGGACTAGTTGCCGGGCGGCACGCAATTAGGGCTTTGCGTCCTCTCCCTCACAACACTCAATTCCTCGAAATTTTTGAACTTTCCGCTGGTGATCTTTCCGTCGACTTCACTAACGCAGGAATCAACCTCGGGGTCTGGTACGTACGCGCCTTTATCATTTTCCGTCCGCTGCCGAACCCGCGTTACTCTCTTTTCGCAAGAGTTGTAATTCTTTCGCTCCTTTCGTTCCCTTTTTTTTTCTTGCAGGCAGCGACTAACCGACGACAACTTGGTGTTTGCAGAGTCAAAATGGGTGCCCTCAAATACCTCGAAGAGCTTCAGAAGAAGAAGCAGAGCGACGTCGTTCGCTTCCTTCTTCGCGTTCGCTGCTGGGAGGTTAGTTGAAACAAAGCATACACCGATCGAGAACGGTTGCCGAAAGAATATCTGTGGACGGTCGGCCTTTTTTGGCGAGAGAACCTGTTTGATGGGAACAGTGGGAAGCGAGTTCTACGAGAGGATTCATCCGCTCCCGCGAACTCACTCATACACTTGTTTCTGTCAATCTGGGGGACCGCGCCGAAATTTTTCGCGCCACCGTTCTTGCTATACACTCGTTGAACATTTGCTGAGAGTGCATCAATATAGCTTCGCCAGTTGAACGTCATCCACCGGGCCTCGAGACCCAGCCGCCCCGACAAGGCCCGCCGCCTCGGCTACAAGGCCAAGCAGGGCTATGTCATCTACCGCGCCCGTGTCCGTCGCGGTGGCCGCAAGAAGCCCGTCCCTAAGGGTGCCACCTACGGTACGTTTTCTTTAGCGCCAGAGTTTGCGATGGTTTCCAGTTTGCTGATATCCCCCAACAGGCAAGCCCACCAACCAGGGTGTGAACCAGCTCAAGTACCAGCGCTCCCTCAAGTCCACTGCCGAGGAGCGTGTCGGCCGCCGCTGCGCCAACCTCCGCGTCCTCAACTCCTACTGGATCAACCAGGACTCTACCTACAAGTACTTCGAGGTTATCCTTGTCGACCCCCAGCACAAGGCCATCCGCCGCGACCCCCGCATCAACTGGATCGTCAACCCCGTCCACAAGCACCGCGAGTCCCGTGGCCTTACCTCCACCGGCAAGCGCTCGCGCGGTCTCAACAAGGGTCACCGTTACAACAAGACCCGCGCTGGCCGCAGAAAGACCTGGAAGCGCCACAACACCCTCTCCCTCTGGCGCTACCGGTAAACGGCTCGCCCAAGAGGTCCGTAGTCTACGGGATCTGGCGCTGGCTCTGGCTGTTCTGCTCATTGGCACGCTTCTTAGCTGGGTCTTTGGGAAACAAGGGAACTTCTTGTTGTCGTGCTCCTCTTCATGGTCTCGACAGCGACAGTGTCTTGATTGCAAATCATCATCGCTGGGACACAACGGAAAGAAGGGTGAATCCGCAGGGATTGGTGGAAGATCCAGTTAGCTCACCAAAATGGACTAAACGCATTTTCTGGTGTGCATATGATACCTCTGTCCTTTTAATGGCATTCTTATGATCATCTATGTGTGACTTTCATATCTTCATTCCACGTTTTGCTGCCAATGAATGAAGTGGATCTTGCCTTACGGACTGACTTCTTCCTATCGGCGTGGCGATGCTTTCGGTTCCTATGTTCTATTCAACTTGAAAAGCTCGAGGATGGTCCGCCAAATGTCCGGCTCCTACGCCAGAACGGTCTCCCGGCATCATACGATATGCAAATTCCTTTCGCAAAAAGCTTCCCAGATTCTTTCTGCATGGTCTAGACTTGTTCTCTTCGGCAGAGAGCAAACACTAGTGGCGAGGCAACGAACGACTACGTGAATCGATACCTTTACCTATGTGCTAGAAAATCGGTCATGGCTTTTGTTTAAACCACCAATGTCAACAGTGGTAGATATCAATCTGAATGTATACACGTATCGCTTTACCAGTAGGCCAACCCTCAACTCGATCGAATCAATCCGTCATGCTCTCGTCGTCCAGTCTTCGCCCAAAGAACTGTGTCTTTTCTGCCCCCCTTGTCACGAAATGATCGATCAAGACGAAGGAGTCGAGAAATGGAGTTGCTGAGTGTGTTCTGATACATTCCTTTCCTGTTTACTTGCAGTAATAGTATGCGTTTTATATGTTTCTCCTCTTGATCGTTCTCCTCATCTGTCCTTACTGGTCTCGGGGTCATCCATTATCATAGGTCAGTCAGTCACTTTTCCAGGCAAATTTTAGTGTCAACCTTTTTCTCTGCTTGGTGCAGTGATTCATCATCATCAATCTCATTATCATCAGACGTGTGGCTTGCGGCCATGTTTACGATACAGGGATGAAAAATAGGAGAAGCGCGTCAACAACGAATGGCCTATTTTGGTCTCCAACGATGAATCTCTATTTACGAGTTGGTCATATCTCTCTGCCGTCTCTATGAGGCACAGTAAGACGTGAGTTATGTACTCTGTTTCTGCAAGGCCGATGGATGAAAACATTTGGGATTGTTTAGTTTCAAGTCCAGGATGAGAACGAGGCTTTCGATTCAGATTTCATATATGACCCATGTTAGGAACACGGCGAGGCGATGGTAATGAGAGAAGCATATCAAAGTCTCTGTGTTGGGTGGAAGTTTCCACAACTACATCTGAAGAAAATGGCAACTCCACATGAGTCCCTGAAAAGCGCAAAACACAGAATAGGGAAGGAATTTGGAGATAAAAGCGACAACACGAGGTTGAGGAAGGCAATGGAACGGAACTTTCGATTATTATCCTTGAAAGATCTATGCTACGGCAACCTGTCCTAACGCTATCGTACCTCTCCCCTTTCTTCCTATTCGAGATCGAGCTTGAGAGACGTATTGTACAACAAAGAAGTTAGAAAGCAGAAGGCACCCTTGCAGATGATTTTGAAATAATCTTCCATAGTGCCTCCGCCTCCTGCTTAAAGCTCGATAACTCTCTTTCTCATATTTTGATTCGTCGCCTAGTTGCCCGAAACACGTTTCGCTGATAAAAAAAGAGAAAAATAACCGCTCCCCAGTACCAGGATCGTTACCGATGATACCAGATCAGATCAGAAAAAAAGGAAAAAGATCTCTCTTTATCTTAGCAAATTATCTGTTTAATGGAACTCTGTCCCGTTTTTGTCAGGTATTAAGAGACCAGCGAGGTCCGTGTCCGTCCGAGGAAGGAAACTCCCCAAGCCGATGGATAAGTGAAAGCCATTCGAAATGTGATCTCATCTCTCATCATATAATGTACACCCTTTTCGTCCGTCTTGCTAGACGCTTTCGTATCACTGCTTAGACCCAGTTCTGGCCATTCTCAGCCGGGGCGCCAGCGGGAGGAAACTGCTGCGATGCAGGAGGCGGAACTGTGATCATGTTGCTTGCGGGGAAAACGGTGCCTAGGGGATGCCCATTACCACCGTTGATGCCGTTCGCGCCACTTCCTAGTCCGCCACTAGTGAGAATTGACGTATTGTTGGACATGGCACGGTTGTGCTGCGCGGGACGAAGGGAAATCTGGCCGCCTGCCGGATCCGCAGGAGTCGCTTGACCACTAGTGCTCGTACCGCTCTGGGTCTGGTTGTCGTAAGTCTGAATCTTGGCCTGGATGCGTCGGCCGTAAGGTGTCGCGCGGACAGCAGGCAAATGAGGACGAATAGCCTCAACCAGCTGGTGCTTCATGGACGGAGTAGCATAGTCCAGTGCCGTCTGAACAACGTAGTTGCCATATGAGTCCTGCATGAGCTGTTTGATCTCATTCTGTGACATGATTTCGCTGACGATCCTGTCCTTGGAATTAGGAGAAGCACAACGCAGGCACTTCTCGACCACATTGGAACTGAACTTGTGCTTCGACAGCTGTGGAATCCGACCGAGGAACTGGCCAACGAGGGGCTCGGTAAAGCTCGGCTCGTTCAGATCAATGATGTACTGAACCACGTAGTTGCCAAAGGGGTCCTGGACAAGGGTAACGGCGTTGGCTGTGATACGCTCAATAAGCCAAATCTTCTTGGCCCCATCGGCGTGATCAATGCAACGTTGAAGAACACAGCAGCCATGGCGATGGGTGCCAACTTCAACGCAGTTTTGTCCAACAGCATCGAAGATAAAGCTGGCATCGGTGGCATTGAGCTTGTTCAGACATTTTTGAATGACATGGTTACCGTTGAGATCTTGAATGAGCTCAACAACGCGATTGCGGAGCGCTTCAATGATGAGGTTGATTTGAGCTGGTGAGCTGACGGAATCGATCATCTTCTGCAGCGCTCGAGTGCCGTGGGCATTCAAAGCGATGCGGACCATATCTGATGTTGCATTTCGAATGAGAACAGTGCGTTCGTCTTCGCTGCAGAGCTCGAGCAGCTTCTGGCAGAGGTAGTTGCCAAAAGGATCCGTCATCAGCTCGATCACATGTTGGTTAGTCTCGAGCCAAATCATGTGGATTTGTTCCTCGTTACGATCATCCAACTTCTTCTGTAGGTAGCGGCAACCATGCTGATCCTTGCATAGCGTGTAAATGGTGCCGACAACCTGCTCCAGAGGCAGGTTGTTGAAACGAGACATGGCTGCCATTGAAAGGTTAGCGATCTGGTGAAATCTGGAGGTTGCGATGTGCTCACCTTCACCGTCCATGGCGCGCCGGCTCTGAATAACACGGGCTTGGCTATCCTGGGGCTGTCTAGGGCTGCTACCGGTGTTGTACAACGCGCCGTATCCCGTATAGTTTTGAGGGGCATACACGGCTGCCGGGTTGTTGTTGCCAACGGACATGTTCTGCATCATCATGGGGAGGTTTCCGTATCCAGCGTTGTTGCCAGGAGGGGCATAGTTGGGGCCCGGTGGGTAGTAGGAATAGGGCATCGCTGGTGCCGTCGAGGTCAAGCCTGTGTTGACTGCAGCAGAGGTCTGCTGCTGAGGAGCGACAGGTCCAAATGGTGCAGCATTGGCGTGCAAAGTCGAAGTGATTGAAGGGTAGCCGCCGTTATCACGGCTGTTCGTCAAACCGGTATCACCAGAAAGCTCACGTGTATGGCGCGCGGCCATGGCACCAGCTGGGATACGACCAAGGCCAGCGTTGTGGTTATGAAAGTGCTGCTGGGCGTGGTTGTTGTTAGACTGACCGTTCGCAGACTTGAGGACCGGGACGTCGTTGGCGGAAAACGATTGCTGGAGCTTTGGGGGGCTGGTCAAGATGTTGCCGATAGCAGGCGACATAACGGAACTCGGGGTTGCGTCAGCAGAGCCGATTGCGCTCTCCTGGAAGAGCTTCGTACCGTCCAGAGAATGGCGAACGTTTGCGGGCTGAGTGCCGATGGGAGTCAGCTCAGGCGAAGCCACTGAGCCTGTTCCGCTTGCCTGTCCAGAACCGATAGCAGACATGCTATGCTGTGAACGATGCTTGTTAATGCTGTTCCAGCCGCTTGCGCCAACACTATCAAGGCCGAAAGACTGGCCTAAAACAACGTCTAATGCTGAAGAAGCAGACAGCTTTGGGTGGGATATTGAGTCAACACAAAATCACAAAAAAACAAAAGTTTGGGGGGGAGGAGTGGTGGAAGGGGATGAAATATCGGTATGAGGGGGAAGCAAACAAAATAAACAAGACTTCCACTGCATTTATCGTACACGACAATTTGCGGGATGTTTTGCTGACAGTGATGGTGCAAACGAGGGCAAGGAAGATGCGCGAAGTGAAGAGGAAGCAACAAGGTGGTTCAGGAATAGATGTGCTTCGTGCTGTCAGGTGTGGGGGTAGAGGGTGTGGGTGTGGGTGTGGTTTTCGAACCCGCAAGTGCCTTGGGGCACCAAACCAGCATAACACATTCACCGGCATCTGAGCACTTCAAGGAGTGGACTTCTGAAAGCTCAGTTGCCTGCCAGGTGAAATGAATTTGAGCCGGAGCTGAGTGACAGGATCGATCGAAACACCACTTTCCGTCGCGCAACCAGTGGAACGGAAAAAGCCAAACTCACCCTATTGGAATATCCCTGCTGTCTAAATAATGTAGGGAAAGCGTCTGCGTTGCTTACTTGCCCGGTGGGAGTCGCCCTGCCCTCTCCCGAGTTATCTTCTTCGTCGTCGAAAAGAAATCCGGCTGTGTTGTTACTGTCTTCGAGACCGATATCGTACGAGGTACGGGATCGGGTCACAGGCATAGAGTAGCGGTTCGTACTAATAGGCAGATCCCCCGTTAACGTCAAGCTCTGGGTCGTAATTGCAATTGATATTGAGGGCGAGTGCGTTGAGTTATACAGGAGTCAAGTTGTGGTCAAGGAGAGAAGGGCGCAACCGTGTGCTTTTATAGACGAAGGTTCATTGCCAGAATGGAGTAACCTGTCAGACAATAGCAACCTCTATAGATCACTTCCCACTTGGGTGGATAATCGAGTCTGCTATTGATCCCCATTCTCCTATAATTTGCGATTATGGGATGAAAAAGAGTGCCTTGGACACAGCAAAAGAGGAGATTCGGCCAAGAGCACAGTCAGGCAGAAGATTGGGCCGAAACTTCGATACCCTTTACAGTAGATTTGAGGGGCTTATGATCTCTTCTCCGGCCCCATCACAAAAACCGCAACGGCTTCACATCAGATAGCAGCAGCAGACTGGGAGCAACGCAAAACCTGTTCGACAGCTTGAAGAAAAGCAAATACTCACGCTTTGGTGGAACGATGGCTGGTGGGATCCTGGCGCACAGCCTCTTCCTTCTCATCTTCGTCACTGTTCCTTCGTGAGCCTGGACCTGAGCGTGTCGGCAGTTGGTCATCAAAGGCTAACCGCATGGGCAGCATCCCCGACGGTGGAGATGTGAGCAAGGAGCGGGTTCCACGGTTGACGAGGCCGGTCGAGTGCCGGTTCGGGCGGGAAAACATGGAGGGAAAGCCTCTTGAGGCATCGCGATATTCGGGGGGTGTGGTCGGCTCGGACTGGTGGCCGGCGAATCTGCCTATCTGCAGATCCTCTGCCATCTGTGCGAGTTCGCGCTCTTCCTGACGCTGCTGAGCGTCTAGTTTAGAGAGCTCGGCTTCGAACCGCCGCTTGCTCTCTCGGATTCGTTCGTATTCCTGTCTCTTCTTTTCTAACTGTTGTCAAGGCAACCGCATGGGCCGCGAGGTTAGCGGGCACCTGGGGCCGTCGTTGCGAACAAGTTGCGACTTACCAGCTGAACCTTGTGGAGAGTCTACCAAGCATGATCAGCATGATCTTCCATACCCAACAAACATGTCACCGTCGCGTCTGCACCAAGAGCAGAGGCGGCCGGGACCGGAAGAACGTACCGCAGCAGGAGTAGCAGCAAACTCGATGGGCTCGGGTGGGCGCTGGGAACCAGGTATAAAGGATGATAGTGTTGGTACATGGCCCGATTCTGCGGTGAATCGGCGCGGTAGGGAGGGACCGCTCCTGTTGACAAAGGAGGGCGCCATTTGCGATTCGCCCCGCTGGGGCTGGGGGCGGTAGAACTCGTCCATGATTATCTCGGCTTTACAGTTGCTAATCGATACACTTTTGTTATACAGGGTGATGGATTCGTCGGCGGCTGCTCCCTCTATAATCTAATACCACACACAAGCGTTAGTCGACATATATTTTTCAGCGAATACCAAGACGAGCACTGTGAGAAGAAGCAACACCATGAGGACGATAATGTGCCATGTACAGCCACATGTAGAGCAGTTGTAGTGACGAATGGCTGACCCCTCGGCGAGTCGCAATCAAAAATAGTTCCTTCGGGTTCGGCAAGGCTAGTGTGTTGAATCCCAAAGCTCCTCAGGATGCTGACAGCTGGTGCGATGGCCATCCAAGCCGTGGGCAGGCATAGGACCGCGCGCTTGTAGTCGGCCGTGTCCTCAAGACTGGAGCAGCCTGAGTACCTCTATGGCGCCCATTATGAGACTGACTGGGCATTGGGATGGGCCAGCGCTGGGTGAGGACGAGGCCGTGGCTCTCGTGGGCTCCAGCGCCCGAGGTCGAGAGGGGATGGAAGGCGTATGAGTGGCCCGGGACCTGAGGTATGTGATGGACGGGGTGCGATTGAAGGAACGACGTCAAGGTTACCTACCTACCTAGTCGTAGAGGTACCAAGCGAAACAATATGTCTCGTCGGCGCACGTATACTCTATACGCTGCGCCCCGGGAAGCCTGGAGCAGCAGGTTCGGGAGTGGTAGTAATACAGCAAAAAGAGCGAAGAGAGATGGGATGGAGGACGAGTAAGCCTGACGGGTTGGGAGGTCGAAGTAGAGGGAGTGTATGGCGGAAGACTGACGGTCACGGTCGGTTGGTGGCACCGAACGGATGGGGATGCGCGAGAGGATGGGATGCCACCCGCTTCCTCTCTCGCGGGCACTGGACCTCAACACCCCCCAGCCCAGCCTGCCGCTGCCGCTGGAGGTGCCGCTGTGGTCCATGTCACTTCTCTTCTGTGGATGCCCTCAGGACTGTCAACTCACCTCCATCTACGTACTAGGTAGGTAGCTAAGTACCTCTACACGAGGACATGCTGCATGCTGGGTTCGAGAACCCCTGACAGCCAGAGACTAGTGCTTCGATTCCGCAGTGGATGGACGACAGAAGCCCAATCATTGGATCTGCTGGCCAAGGGCGATTGCGCTAAGAGGTCCCCGCTTTGCACCCTTCGGAGAGGTACTGGTACTTGCGAAGTGAGTGGAAGCTCTCCTCACCTCATCGTCGCTGTCTTCTTCCTCTTTTCCCTTTCCCCTTCCACTTCTTTGGAAGTTGACAGCCAGAGTTGCGAATGATTACAAATGCGGCTTTACGGCGTGACATTGGAGTATCTGACCATGTTAGACAACGAGACAGCCTTCAGTTGCTACCAGATCCCTTGAACATGGCCTGTAAACGGACATGTGCTCTACAAGACAACAGCAGGCGAAGGCGATGAGGGATCCAAGCCTACGGTACCTACCCTGACTCTGCCCAGGGGGTATTTGTAGGATGGAGATAAAGCCTCTTCCTGCCTTTGCCCTGCTTCAGTTCCCAGATATATCGCCTTACGAGGAACCCCCAGGATTTACATGGAACGGAACATCAGAGACGGCAAAGTGGAAATCCTGAGGAATTAGCGGTGTATAGGCGTCGCCGGGCGTTATACGGCCTGCAGTGAGGCAATCCACGAGGTGGCTGCCCCAGATTCTCTTACCCGCGCCCTTGCGTCCAGTCTGCAGCTGCCCCTGCGCTATGTTAGGCCTTGTCTGGAACCGGATAGGGAATGATTGGCTGGCGACAGAACGGAGAGGGATTGCGTGTTGCAGCACTCCCCTCTAGCTGACAAGCGAGACAAGCTCGAGACAAGGCATGGGAAAGGTAGCTATAGTGACAAAAGGCATAAGACAGTGAGTGACTGGCAGGTACCAGTAGCCGTCAATGTTCAAGGCTGGACACTCTAACCCTCACTTCTGCCCTATGGAAGATTCAATATAAGAGAGGAGATCGATCTACTTTCTGATCACTTAAATGTACGACAGCCAGGTGATAGCTAGACGCCGGGATATGGGATGTCCTAGAATGCTCATTGAGATCATGGTTGAGAAAGCGAACGCACAAGTGCAGCGCCCAAGTGTTCAACCCTGATGTGAAAATCTCGTCGCCTTTTTCAATTGCTCCTCCTTCGGATTTTTCCCCACTGCTGGGTTGGGTTCCAGGTCGATTCAAGCAAGGTAGCACCCTGCTGGAGCTGGCTTGGGAAAAGATGGGTACCTACCTACACTATGCGAAAAGACACGGCCAACGGTGATGCGACTCTTGACGTTTGTATAATCAGCCAGAAGCATAACCCTTCTCTGATTATCAAAGCCGGAGCAGGTGATGACGGGCACAGCACTTGGGAATAACATCAACCTCCGTTGTATGCGATTAGCAATTCAAAGGCTGCCATAACCAACAAACAAAGACCGAAGAAGACCATCAACATAATAACAGGTAGGAGAGAAATAATGAACGACCCGGCAGGTGATTTCATGACCCGAAGCTCTCCCCTGTTGACTTGTGTGTCGATCAAAGGCCCGGCTTCCGCTTGGCGCGGATAGATTCAGCAGAACGGATACATACCTACCTATCTTGAGGTTACCTAGCTGGCCTAACCCCGCTACAAATTGTTCAAATCGTTGTGCCAGTTGAGGTTGGATAGGTAAATACAACCTACCACCAGGAGGCAGATGTGTCGGAGTAGCACAGAGGCGGGGGTTCCTTATCACGAACATCAAAGTGACTCTGGAGTCAAAGCAAAAGGAAAGGTTTCACAAAGGTGACAGACAGGGCACGGCCAAAAGTGGAACAGGAACCTACCTACCTACCTACCCTAGAGGTATGTATGTAACTGTCAATCAGGGGTCCAAAACGTGGGCGCTAACAATTTTGGCCTCGGCATACCAGTTACCACTGCAGTCACCGGTCGGGCACCACAACACTGCACTAGTGTACACTACACTAACAGTTAAGCACAGACCACTCCCGCCCCGTCGTCCCCCACCGCCCCAGCCGCGGCTTACCTCTACTGACCTGACAAGAACGGCAGCGGCCAGCCCGTAGAAAAAGTTTATCGCAACTAATCCTTATCAATTTGCCGCGGGGCCAAAAATCACATCGAAACCTACACAACTACAAGGCGCATCTTCTCAACCAAACACGCATCCCCGGTCGTTCCGCGTCCCATCATCGCCATCCTCCATTCCTCCGGCCCGATCGACACGACGAACCGTCACCCGCAGTCAGCACATGCAAGGATGGCGGCTCTCGACGATGGCTTCGAGGCCCTGCTGGAGCCGTTCTACAATGGCAAGAAGCTGACCGATCCCGTCTCGACCACGCAGGACAAGTTCCATCTTGTCCCGGCCTTCCTCAAGGTCAAGGGCCTCGTCAAGCAACACATCGACTCGTACAACTACTTCGTCAATGAGGAAATTAAGGACATCGTCAGGGCCAACCGTGTCGTCCGCAGCGACCAGGACCCCAACTTTTGGCTCGAGTTCAGAGACATTCGCGTCGGCATGCCCACCCGCACCGAAGATGGCGAACAAGTCCAGTCTCGAAACCCCGTCACCCCCATGGAGTGCCGTCTCCGCGACCTGACCTATGCCGCCCCCGTCGAAGTCGACATCGCCTACACCCGCGACAAGAACGTCATCGTCCGCAAGAACATCCCGCTATGCCGCATTCCCGTCATGCTCAAGAGCGCAAAGTGCTACCTCAACGGCGCCACCAATGCCCAGATGGAGGTCTTCAACGAGTGCCCTCTCGATCCCGGTGGCTACTTCGTTATTGGCGGAACCGAAAAGGTCATTTTGATTCAGGAACAGCTTAGCAAGAACCGTATCATTGTTGAGGCCGACGAGAAGACCGGCGGAGTCATGGCCTCGGTTACCAGTTCTACACACGAGAGAAAGTCAAAGACTTACGTCGTACTCAAGAAGGACCGGATCGTCCTGCAGCACAACACCCTCTCCGAGCCCATTCCCATCGTCATCGTTCTCAAGGCCTTCGGTGGTCTTTCCGACAACGACATTATCGAGCTGGTTTGCGGTGGCGATGCGCGCTACCAGGATGATTTCCTCATCAACTTTGATGAAGCCGGAAGAGCTGGTGTCTACACACAACAACAAGCGTTGGAATACGTTGGTGCTAGAGTCAAGATGGGCGGTAACAGACCAAAATTTGGTGCCGCTCCTCGAAGAAACCATGCCGAAGAAGGTCTCGACGCACTTGCGAACCTAGTTATTGCGCACGTTACTGTTGAGGGTCTCGACTTCTATCCCAAGGCCGTCTACATTGCCATGATGGTTCGCCGCGTGCTGATGGCAGCTCAGAACCCCAAGCTCGTCGATGACAGAGATTTCGTCGGCAACAAGAGATTGGAATTGGCTGGACAGCTGATCTCCCTTCTATTTGAAGACTTGTTCAAAAAGTTCATTTCAGACGTCAAGTACAACATTGACAACTTTTTCAAGAAACCCAACCGTACCTCTACGTATGATCCCCATGGTGCGATCATGGCTAACGGCCATTATATCTCTCACGGTCTTAACCGCGCTATTCAGAGCGGCAACTGGACGGTCAAGCGTTTCAACATGAACAGAGCCGGTATCACCCACGTGCTCAGTCGACTCAGTTATATCGCTGCGCTGGGTATGATGACGCGTATCAGCTCACAGTTCGAAAAAACAAGAAAGGTTTCCGGTCCAAGAGCCCTACAGCCCTCGCAGTGGGGTATGCTCTGCACCTCTGATACACCTGAAGGTGAAGCCTGTGGTCTGGTAAAGAATTTGGCACTCATGACACATATCACCACGAATGTGCCGGAGGAGCCAGTTAAGAAGATGATTTTCGCTGCTGATGAGAGCGTGGGACCGATTCGAGAATACACCGGAACAGAGATGCACAGCAAAGGCTCGTATATCATCCATCTGAACGGTACGCCATTTGCTGTGACCAGGGAGCCAAAGCGGTTTGCCGCCA